TAGCTTTTAGCTTCTACAGCAGCTATAGCTTTTAGCTTCTACAGCAGCTATAGCTTTTAGCTTCTACAGCAGCTATAGCTTTTAGTTTCTCCAGTAGCTGTAGCTTTTAGCTTCTCCAGCAGCTGTAGCTTTTAGCTTCTCCAGCAGCTATAGCTTTTAGCTTCTCCAGCAGCTGTAGCTGTTAGCTTCTCCAGTAGCTATAGCTTTTAGCTTCTCCAGCAGCTATAGCTTTTAGCTTCTCCAACAGCTATAGCTTTTAGCTTCTCCAGCAGCTGTAGCTGTTAGCTTCTCCAGTAGCTATAGCTTTTAGCTTCTCCAGCAGCTGTAGCTTTTAGCTTCTCCAACAGCTTTTAGCTTTTACAGCAGCTATAGCTTTTAGCTTCTCCAGCAGCTGTAGCTTTTAGCTTCTCCAACAGCTTTTAGCTTTTACCGCAGCTATAGCTTTTAGCTTCTACAGCAGCTATAGCTTTTAGCTTCTCCAGTAGCTGTAGCTTTTAGCTTCTCCAGCAGCTGTAGCTGTTAGCTTCTCCAACAGCTTTTAGCTTTTACCGCAGCTATAGCTTTTAGCTTCTACAGCAGCTATAGCTTTTAGCTTCTCCAGCAGCTGTAGCTTTTAGCTTCTCCAACAGCTTTTAGCTTTTACAGCAGCTATAGCTTTTAGCTTCTCCAGCAGCTGTAGCTTTTAGCTTCTCCAACAGCTTTTAGCTTTTACCGCAGCTATAGCTTTTAGCTTCTACAGCAGCTATAGCTTTTAGCTTCTCCAGCAGCTGTAGCTTTTAGCTTCTCTAAGCTCCGCCTCCCACAGAAANTGTGTGTGTGTGTGTGTGTGTGTGTGTGTGTGTGTGTGTGTGTTTGTTTGTTTGTTTGTTTGTTTGTTTGTTTGTTTGTTGGTTGACGAGCAGGGCTATGAGCACATAGCTGAGGACCCGGCTCTCCTCTACCGGGTGGAGAGCATGCCGGGTCTGGGCTGGGTTCTGAAGAGGAGCATCTACAAAGACGAGCTGGAGCCCAAGTGGCCGACGCCCGAGAAGGTGGAGGAGGATTTGTTTTTTATTTACCTGACAGTTTGAACCCTTCAGTGGTTCCTGTGATCCCAGTGACTGGTACCTGTTCCTGGTGGAACCAGACCTAACGGGTCAGAGTGTTTGTGTTGCAGCTGTGGGACTGGGACATGTGGATGAGGATGCCCGAGCAGAGGAGAGGCAGAGAGTGCGTCATCCCTGACGTGTCSCGCTCGTATCACTTCGGCATCATCGGCCTCAACATGAACGGCTACTTCCACGTGAGAGCTGCAGCTTTTTACCTGTCTGTTGACCGGACCAGGTCTCAGGTCTTCCTCTTGTCTCCTGCAGGAGGTTTACTTCAAGAAACACAAGTTCAACACTGTTCCCAACGTGCAGCTGAAGAACGTGGACAGGTGTGTTCTCACCTGGCTTTCTGTGCTCATCAGGTGTTTCTGCTGTTTCTGATGTCTTCTTCTGCTCCACAGCCTGAAGAGAGACTCATATGAAGTGGAGGTCCAGAAGCTACTGAAGTGAGTCCAGCTGCCTGGTTTCTGAGCCTGTTCTTGTTGGGTTTGTGGTCTCTGACCTGGTCCTTGTTGGGTTTATGGTCTCTGTCCTGGTCCTTGTTGGGTTTATGGTCTCTGAGTCAGGTCCCTGTTAGGTTTATGGTCTCTGAGTCAGGTCCCTGTTAGGTTTATGGTCTCTGAATCAGGTCCCTTTTGGGTTTATGTTCTCTGAGTCAGGTCCCTGTTGGGTTTGCGGTCTCTGAGTCAGGTCCCTGTTGGGTTTGCAGTCTCTGAGTCAGGTCCCTGTTGGGTTTATGGTCTCTGTCCTGGTCCGTATTGGGTTTATGTTCTCTGACCTGGTACCTGTTCTGGTTTTGTGGTCTCTGAGTCAGGTCCCTGTTAGGTTTATGGTCTCTGAGTCAGGTCCCTGTTAGGTTTATGGTCTCTGAGTCAGGTCCGTTTTGGGTTTATGGTCTCTGAGTCAGGTCCCTGTTGGGTTTGTGGTCTCTGAGTCAGGCCCCTGTTGGGTTTGTGGTCTCTGAGTCAGGTCCCTGTTGGGTTTATGGTCTCTGAGTCAGGTCCCTGTTGGGTTTATGGTCTCTGAGTCAGGTCCCTGTTGGGTTTGCGGTCTCTGAGTCAGGTCCCTGTTGGGTTTGTGGTCTCTGACCTGGTCCTTGTTGGGTTTATGGTCTCTGTCCTGGTCCCTGTTGGGTTTATGGGTCTCTGAATTAGGTCCCTGTTGGGTTTATGGGTCTCTGACCTGGTCTCTGTTGGGTATGTGGTCTCTGAGTCAGGTCCCTGTTGGGTTTATGGGTCTCTGACCTGGCTCCTGTTGGGTTTATGTTCTCTGACCTGGTCCCTGTTGGGTTTATAGGTCTCTGAGTCAGGTTCCTGTTGGGTTTTATGGTCTATGACCTGGTCCCTGTTGGGTTTATGTTCTCTGACCTGGTCCCTGTTGGGTTATATGGTCTCTGACCTGGTCCCTGTTGGGTTTATGTTCTCTGACCTGGTCCCTGTTGGGTTTATGTTCTCTGACCTGGTCCCTGTTGGCTTTATGTTCTCTGACCTGGTCCCTGTTGGGTTATATGGTCTCTGACCTGGTCCCTGTTGGGTTTATGTTCTCTGACCTGGTCCCTGTTGGGTTTATGTTCTCTGACCTGGTCCCTGTTGGCTTTATGTTCTCTGACCTGGTCCCTGTTGGGTTATATGGTCTCTGACCTGGTCCCTGTTGGGTTTATGTTCTCTGACCTGGTCCCTGTTGGGTTTATGTTCTCTGACCTGGTCCCTGTTGGGTTTATGGGTCTCTGACCTGGTCCCTGTTGGGTTTATGTTCTCTGACCTGGTCCCTGTTGGGTTTTTGGGTCTCTGACCTGGTCTCTGAGTCAGGTTCCTGTTGGGTTTATGGGTCTCTGAGTCAGGTTCCTGTTGGGTTAAATGGTCTCTGACCTGGTCCCTGTTGGGTTTATGGCTCTCTGACCTGGTCCCTGTTGGGTTTATGTTCTCTGACCTGGCTCCTGTTGGGTTTATGTTCTCTGACCTGGTCCCTGTTGGGTTTATGGCTCTCTGACCTGGTCCCTGTTGGGTTTATGGCTCTCTGACCTGGTCCCTGTTTGGTTTATGGCTCTCTGACCTGGTCCTTATTGGGTTTATGTCTCTCTGACCTGGTCCCTGTTGGGTTTGTGGTCTCTGAGTCAGGTCCCTGTTTGATTTGGATCTTGATGCGGTCCTTCTGGGTCTGGGTCCTGATCTGGTCCCTGCTGGATCTGGGTCTTCTTTGTGGTCCTGTAACGGTCTGTTTGTGTGACTCAGAGCGGCGGAGGTTTTGGACCACACCAAGAACCCGTGTGAAGACTCGTTTGTTCCGGACACGGAGGGGAAGATCTACATCATGTTCATAAAGATGGAGTCTGAGTCGGACACGTCCACCTGGACAGAACTTGCCAAGGTGAGCTCCGAGACGCCGTCCTCATCCTTGTTGTGTCCTGATGGTTTTAACAGAACCCATGAAAAACCTGTTCTGGTTCTGGTCCTGGTCCTGGCAGTGCCTGCATGTTTGGGACCTGGATGTTCGAGGGTACCACCGAGGACTCTGGAGGCTCTTCAGGAAGAGAAACCACGTCTTGGTCGTGGCCACGCCCATCTCACCGTACTCGTGAGTAACGATGAAACGTCTTGTTTACCTTCAGTCGTTGTGTTTACTCATAAACAAAACAATGTTCAGGTGTTCGTTGCACAACAAGACTTTCTACTGGTTACTGACGTGTCCTCATGTCCCTGTCCTCGCATGTCCAACTATGTCCTTGCATGTCCCTCTGTCCTCTCATGTCCAGCTGTGTCCCTCTGTCCTCTCATGTCCAGCTGTGTCCCTCTGTCCTCTCATGTCCAGCTGTGTCCCTCTGGTCTCTCATGTCCAGCTGTGTCCCTCTGTCCTCTCATGTCCAGCTGTGTCCCTCTGGTCTCTCATGTCCAGCTGTGTCCCTCTGGTCTTTCATGTCCAGCTGTGTCCCTCTGGTCTCTCATGTCCAGCTGTGTCCCTCTGGTCTTTCATGTCCAGCTGTGTCCTTCTGTCCTCTCATGTCTCCATGATGGAAAGTTTTGGTTCTGCTGGGTTGGTTGAACAGTTTATTTGCATGTTGAGGACAGAACCCATACCAGAGACCTTCAGCAGGATGAAAGTCCTCGGGGTTCAGAGATCTGACCTGGTCTGACCCGGTCTGACCCGCCCCAGGCCAGTCTGAGCCACAGGAAGTTAACATCACGTCTTCTTCTGTGTTTTTCTCTCAGAGTGAAGAAACCAGCTGCTGTCAGTCCCATCCACTTAGAGCCCCCTCCCAAAGAGGAGGGGGCCCCGGTGGAGCCCGTGTAGACCTACACCTGGTCCCTCAGACCGTGATCCAGAGAACAGACTGACTCAGAAACAGAGGGAACTCTGGGAAACTTAGTCTTTTAAGACTCCAGGAGGCTCATCTGGACCCGATGATCCGAGGAAGACCAATAAGACACTAAACGAGTCTGGTAAGGGCTGTGAGGACGGGCCTGGACCTGGACTCTGAGAATGGACCTGGACCTGGACTCTGAGAACAGACCTGGACTCTGAGAACGGACCTGGACTCTGAGAATGGGCCTGGACTCTGAGAATGGGCCTGGACCTGGACTGTGAGAACGGGCCTGGACCTGGACTGTGAGGACTCTGAATTCAGTTTGTTTTTATCTCAAACAGCAGTTTTATAAATTATTTATTAGAGTTCAGTTTTTTGTTTTGTTTTGTTTTAAGGAGTTTAAAGAAAACACAAAGATGTCAACACTAACATGTAAACAAACATGTCAACACAAACGTAAACAAACATGTCAACACAAACGTAAAAATAAACATGTTAACACTAACAAACACAAACATGTCAACACAAACCTGTCAACACAAATATGTAAAAACAAACATGTCATCACTAACAAACACAAACTTGTCAACACTAACATTTAAAAATAAACATGTCAACACAAACCTGTAAACACAACCATGTCAACACTAACATGATAACACAAACCTGTAAACACTAACATGTCAACACTAACATGTCAACAGAAACATGTCAACAGAAACATGTCAACACTAACATGTCAACAGAAACATGTCAACAGAAACAT